AAAGCAGATAAAACGGCAAGAGAGGCAAGCCTTGCGTTGCCTCCAAGGAAGTGAGATAAATATCTAACATTTTAATATTTTTTTTGTTAAATTAACAGGCAAAATACAAAATAATCCCAAGTGCCTTTCCATGCCATTAAAACAGGCATATCATTCTCTTGGTGATGATAGCTATCGGGACAGTCTGTAACTTCTCTTTTCTAAAAGTGAAACACTTTTTGAGTTCAATCTCTCAGATCAGTAAAACGGCCAGGAGGCAGTACATATAATTCATTTGAGTTGGAGGGCCTCAAGCACGTGCTTTGCATTTAACAGGGCCATCAATGCTAACAAACATTACCTCACTATACTTTCTTGCAAGTTATATTTAAAAAGCAAGGCAAATGTGTGGGAAATGGTGTTTTGTGTGTGTGTGTGTGTGTGTGTGTGTGTGTGTGTGGCAGTTAGGTGTCTTGCACTGACTTCCAAATCCAAGCTGCCATTTTCAAGCCCAAATAACTTTTCCTTCTAAATGTTCAAAAGACTCGCTGAGCTCTGACAGCCAATATGGTGATTTTCTTCCCCATTTCACGCACCATCAGGGACAATAAAAACTCTGGAGGCCAAATTACATTATATCGGCGCAATCTCTTCTTACCTCATGCATGCCCTCGAAAATATGAAGTGAGGTTATCTGGGTAAAAACTGAAAGCAAAAGCTACACTAGTGTTTTCGGAGACTATATACAAGACTCTATTGCTTTGCGATGAGGGAGCTATAAAAATACAACTTTTATCTCGGCAAAACCAGAGTGAGTATTTTATAGAGCTAGAAATTACTTGCCGTATGCGTGTGTGCCTCAAAAGACAAACTTCAAAACTGTAGTTGTACACAAACACCTGTTAAACATATAGCCAATACACATTCAGAATAATCACCTGATACAGCCCTAATAGGACTGTACCACTTCAGAGTTGTGTTGGGGGACCGCAAGCTGACATGCTACTGTATGTATATAAGTGGTCACTAGTGTGCTCTTGTGCTTAGAAACTAGCAAAATAGGGGCGAAGATTCTTTCCTAGACCTCTCCCTGATAAGAAATTCACTGTGTGTAGACAACTAGCTTATGTGGACCAGCGTTTAAAACATGCTGCTCTACCAACTTACAGGCTAAAGTGGCAAAGTCCTACCTCATGATTATTTTGAACATATAAAGTTGGCCATTACCACTTGGAAGCAATGCTATTTATTTGAGCCAGGCATATTCCCCATTAATGGTATATGCACTGTGATCCTAAGCGTGTACTCTCAAAAGAAAACCTCAATGAAACCAACAGGTCTTATTCTCTGGTAAGTGTGTAGGATTACAGCTTTGGGGCCATAGCGAAGTGACAGTATTAAATCCAGTTCTCTCCCTGCCTCCGTAGGGTTGCCAACTTTCAGGTGGTGGCTGGAGATTCCCTGGAATTACAACTAATCTCCAGATGATAGAGATCAATTCACCTGGAGAAAATGGTCATTTTGGAAGGTGGACTCTTTGGCGTTATACCCTACTGAAGTCCCTCCCCAAACCTACCCCACCCTCTTCAGGCTCCACCCCCAAAGTCTCTAGGTATTTCCCAGCCCAGAGCTGGCAACCCTATATGGCCACCATGAGACAAGAAGAAAGGCAGAGTGTGTATGTGTGTGTGTATAGTTGTTGTTCAGTTGCACAGTCAAGTCTGACTCTTCACGAATTTAAGTGTCACCGCACCCTCAAGCATCAGTATTAATATTTGACATTATATTAACTTATTCTTATTAACATTATTAACTTATTATATTATTAACTTATTGTTGTTTACCTATTGTTTCTTGTGTAAGCCACCCTGTATCTGCCTCAGAGGGGAAAAACATCAAATAAATAAATAAATGTAGCTCTATAATATGTACCATGCATCCCAAGAGCAAAGTCTTATAACCTAAACAACCTATGGTGTGTTCAGATGGGGCATTTGCAACGGTATAGGTGCCAGTTGGAATTGGTGTACTTACCGGTGTTCACACGGCGAACATCTGCCTTCCGTCCCTAACCGTTGCAAAGAGCTTTACACCGTTGTATTCTGCCACTAGGTCCCCAAGTGGTGGTATCCTGAGTGCAACAGTTGTAATCACT